CCTTAGCTATCAAATCATAACATCCATCCCATTACAATTCTATGGCTCCATATTATGGTGATTTTATTATGGTTTTACCTTTATTTTATCTCCTATGTTGTATTTTCAATATGTGTCTGTCTGTCTGTCTATGCTGACACTTTATTTTGCCATATACTAAATAAATAATAAATAATTAGTACCAAATAATGAGTCAAGGATGTGCAATCTTTTTCTGATTTTAGATGGATCCAACTTTTGAGCCAGAGGAAAATGAAATCCGTACACTCTTTGGATTGCATCTAATGCAGAAAAGGAATGATGGTGTGATTGATCAATCACTATTCAAAAACATTGTTACTAAAAATAAAAATGTAAGTGAGTTATCTTGAATGAAAATGGGATTAGTTCCAATAGGAATGCTTAATCTGCTGCTAAAAGGATATCTTATCAACAGGGATGTTAACAATCACTTTTAAAAGCTCTGGGTAAGATTGCTAATGAACCAGATGGTGAAAATATTTGTGCTCTGTTTGTGCAAGTTCTGTATAGACAGAAACTGCGGAGGAGAACGGAAAATTGGAAATATTAGATGCTAAATTCACTTTGTGTTTGAACTAGACTGCAATTACAAGCGGGGAAGTGAAGTTCTTCCTTTAAAGAACAAGCCCCAAAAGAGTTAGCAGGCTTTGCTCTAATGTCTCTCTCTAGAACAGACCCTGACAAATCGATTGCTACTACAGATAGGCCAGGTTCAAGAACAATTAGTTACCGTAATTTTTGGAGTATAAAATGTACTGGAGACACACCAAGATTTTGAAGTAATTTTTTTACCCAATCAGTAATTTTTTTTACTGTTGCCCTCCTGACCGAGGTCCAGCCCCGATTAGACTGGGTGCATGTTGTGTTTCTTTTAATCCGCTTTCTTCTGTTTGTTTTTAACCCTTCTCTTAAAACATATTTTCTGTAAGCCGCCCGGAGTCCTTCGGGATTGGGCGGCCTATAAATTTAATAAATCCAAATCCAAATCTGCCCGAATCTATCAGTGGGGGGGGGCCCTGGGCCGCACTCTCAATCCCCTCATATGCACCAAACAGCCGTAGTAACATATACACCCCACTATAACAATAAAAACAGGGAATAAAAGTTAAAATTAATAAAAAGTGGGCTCATTCATTAACATACATACTCACACACTCCACATACCAAGACAATTTGTAAAGTCCCCGCGATGCCTTTGTAATCGTCTTCCTTTGTTTCAGCTGCCTGATTCGGCCATCAGAGACCTCATTGTTGCCACCATCGCTGTTAAATATACTCAGTCTAATTCCGTTTGTTATGCCAAGAATGGACAGGTAGGTACATGGGGACATTTGGAGGAGTGTCTTATTGTTCTTCCTGATTTAATATCCAATTTTAAAAGCGATTGCTCTCAAAACAGATCTTACTGTTACAAAATTGTTCCTAACATTTCAAACATAAATTTTTATCTTGGACAACAAGAGTTTTCATCTTGTGTGAGATGGTCTTCAAGAACATGAGGAGTGCTATGATGATATCAAGCGCTGATAAGAGCATTTACGGATTCTATAAAAGCTCATAATTTAAGAAAATGCCATCCATGCAGGTTCTGACTAGCATGATCTGTATTCATTTGTTCAGGGTTCAACAACATCTCACCAACATCAGATTCTCAGATCTGAATTAAACATTTTTACAGACATTGTTAAATGCTGTGCAAAAGTACGGTGCCGTCTTTCTCTAACAAGGCTTCCTCCGTATTTTGAACTACTGAACAATCCGACCCCACCCAGTCTGTGCCTTCTGAAGCTGTGGACTTCCGAGCTTCCTTCCAGTAGCTCAAATCTAACTGCACTCATCAATCTTAGCCTTCTCACCATCTTTATATCGTGATCCTGGGACCTTTAACTAGGTGAAAGACAGTTTAGTTTTACCTGTTTACATCATGGAAGATGATGTGAAGTTAAGCCATTCTTGGTTTAAAGAGTAATTTCTTGAATGTATCCAAAGGGTTGGGTTGATAATTGGCTGGCCTCATTTATTGAAATGAAAATAAAATTATTCTTAAGAAAGGCTGAAGTGCCAAATTGCAAAGCAGGGAAACGGAGGACCTGAGGAACTACAGATTTCTGGTTTTATCTAGGAAGATTCTGTGTCAGATCATGTCGGGGTTAATGATGCTCAAGGCCCTGGAATACAGTCGTTACTAGACAGCAAAGGTGGGTCAGGAATAAGATTTAGATTAGAATTGTATCTATTTTTTTTTAAAATAAGAAAACTTATTTAATAAACAGTGGGTGTCCACTATCTTGATGTCAGCAAAAACGATTGATGAACCCACAGATCTTTAATTGGCAAGCTAATTGGGCCCTGAATTGAATGGATGTCAGTCAAAAAGATACATAATTGGCTTGAAAATAACATTCATACGTAAAAAGGATGCCTTTCAAATTAGAGAAAAATATTAAGTGTGTGACAGTAGGTTCAAAAATAAAGTATATAATGTGGAATATTGTGCTTGACAATCATATTTACGAAAAAGATCTTAAAATACTAGCTGATATGTTGAATTATAATATATATTATAATTGATTTTTTAAATTCTTTTTTTCTGGCTCTTTTTGTAATTCCATCTCTAACTTCTTATATTCCTCTTCTAGTTTCTTTTGAGCTTGTCTCTTTTTTTATTCCTCTTCCCCACATACGTTATAGTGAGTCCGCTAATATATGCCTTTGCTGCGTCCCATCCATTCCGTAATGTAGTTTTTTCTTCTCTATTCTCTTTAAAGAAAAAGTCCAATTTCCTTTCCATGTATTGTATAAATTCTTTGTTTTAAAATTGTTTGATTCATTGTCCACCTTACTTTCTTCTTTTGTCTCTTCCATATAACTTCTATCAGATTATGATCTGTCCAAGTATTTATTTCAATATTTATCTCTCGTATATTACATATTAATTCAACTAATATCCACATCATGTCTATTCTGGACAAAGACATATATATCTATCTGAGTAAAATATATATTGACTTTTCTCAGGGTGCTTTTCTTGGCAAGCATCTTGAATACCTAATTCTTTCACCATTTTACAAAAGGTTTTTGGAAGCGTTTTTCTATATTTTTTTGTTTATTTTTTTAGTCTTATTATCCAAATCTGCATTCCCAATTGCATTAAAGTAACCTACAGTGCATATATTGTCATATTCCAATTCTATTATTTTATTATGCAATTTACTATAGAAATCTTCTTGATTGTAATTCACTGCATATATTAACAAAAGAGGAGTTAAAGCACAAATGAAAGACGAAGCCAAGTTATTTTTAGTTTATTTTAGAATATGATTGTTAAAGATTTATACCCTGTATTTGCTCTGGGAAGTCGGGGGGGGAGGTTGGGGGGGATGGGCTCGGGTGGAGGAGGGTGGTAAACATTTGTAAAATCTTTTTTAAAAATTTTCAATAAAAAAAAGATGTTGGATAGCCATTTGTCTGAAATGGTATAGGGTTTCCTGCCTAGGCAGGGGGGTTGGACTAGAAGACCTCCAAGGCCCCTTCCAACTCTGCTATTGTAAAATTGTAATCAATTTGTATAGGAAGGAAAAATAAATGAATACGACTCTACTGTCATGGCGTTTATTGATGCATAATGAATAAGCATATAGAAAGTTTTTCATGTGCCTTTTAATTATTTCGTTCCGTGCGTTTTAGGTGATTGGAATCGGGGCAGGGCAGCAATCCCGTATCCACTGTACCCGCCTGGCTGGAGACAAGGCCAATGTCTGGTGGCTCAGACATCACCCACGAGTGCTTTCCATGAAGTTCAAAACTGGAGTAAAAAGAGCAGAGATTTCCAATGCTATTGATCAATATGTCACCGGGACCATTGGTGAGGTAAGGCAATCAATAGAAACAACTCTCAAATCGTACGTGGACTTCGACTCCCAGAATTCTCCAGCCAGAATCGTGAGAAGCTCAGCTTCAATTCTGGGAATTGAAGGCTACTCATCAAAGTTGCCAAATCTAAAAAACATTGATGCATATCATTACCATTTGTTCCTAATTATCGTTACCATTTGTTCCTAACAAGAGTTTTGACTATTGAAATTTGTTATTTCTTTTTTTCAAAAATACGTTATCCATATCCAAAACAAGCTTAGGGATCCATTATCCCTAATGGTTGTGCGAGATTAGGATCAAATGGGAATGAGTACTTTCAAAGTTAGTCTGTTCTTTCAAAGGTTTGGAAGACTATTGGATATGACTTTTTCCTGCACTGGGGGAGAATTTACAAGGCCTCCCTCAAGGCCGTTATTTTGTGCTGGTTCTGGTCCTCCATAGCAGCTAAATTCTAGAAGTGATGGGTAACTGGCAACTTTTCTCATATCTTCCTGAAAACTTTATTGATGTTTCTGTTTATTTAACATACCTCTGGAAGGATTACTATAAGAGAATAATATTGGGAGTACCAGTTTCATAGCTTTTCCATATCAGCCCATAAAGGCTGCTGATGTTGCTAATCACTGAGATTTTATCTGGACTGCAAAAAAAAATGTGTCTGCCTTTTAAAAACGATGATTGAGAACATGCTAAATATGGGTAATCCTCGAGGTACAATCGTAATGAAGCCTACCCATTACGGTCATAATGTTAACTGAACCACATTAAATAAACAAACCCCAGCCCTCCCCAATTCATATGTTATATTGAATGATGGGTACTTACCGTATTTTGTGGAGTATAAGACGCACCTTTTTCCTTCAGAAAAGAGGGTGAAAATCTGAGCGTGTCTTATACACTGAATACAGCATTTTTGGCCTCCTGAAACCCCGCCCCCAGGAGCACTCTATAAGCGTCCTAAAAGCTATGCATGCCCCCTTTTTTACAGAAAATGGGCCCGTTTTTGTGAAAAATGGCCTGGTTTTTGCTCATTTCCCCCCCCCCTCCCAGACCCCAGTAGCACTTTACAAGCCGCCTAAAGGCTATGCATACCCTTTTTTTTTGACAAAAAACAGGCCTTTTTTCCCCCAGAAAATCAGGCCATTTTGGGGAGGTCTGCAGAGTGCAAAAACTTTTTTTTTTTAATTTGCCTCTTCAAAATCTTGGTGTGTTTTATACTCCAAAAAAAACGGTAAGTGCACATGGGGTTCCTCAGGTAGCAAAGACTCCAGCATCACATGGTCGCTTCCCACCCCATGGGGTCTCCACAGCCGCTTGTGCCTTCTCCACACCAACCCCCTATTTAGCAATCCCTTGCCTTTTGAAGTTCTCCAGAGCTCAAGGAGACTGGGCCATGCAGATGTGGGCAAAGCTGTTTTCCCCCCTCACATCTTGGGTTCTTACACTCACTCATTTTTGCACACAGATGGAATAGTATGTAAGAAGATCTATCACATCTAAGCCACCTTTGGTTGCAGCCTGGACAGTGCCACAGGCACCTTCTGTGTCCTGCTGGGTAACTGATTTAAATGAGTCACTTTGGGATTGGCCCACAACACACCTGTCATAACAATAGATGAGAAGAAAAAAGTATGGTTCATTGACATTGCAATACCTGGGGATGCACGAATTGAAGATAAACAGCAAGAAAAAATCACAAAATACCAGTACTTGCAAATTGAAGTTGAGCAACTGGGGAAAAAAATTGTGTGTTGTCCCGATTGTAATTGGAGCCCTTGGAGCAATACCTAAAGGGCTACCTCGCTATTTGGAAATTTTAAATTTATCAGACTTGAACATTCTGATTCTACAAAAAACCACCCTACTTGGAACAGCTTATATCTTCCGTTATCTTAACAGTTCCTCGGTCCTTGGTTAGGACTCGAGCTGTTGAGCTACCAACCAGCCCCAAAGGCTGTGAATCTTCACCAAAGATTAACCACAAATAATAATACTAATGATAATAATAATGATAATTATTATTATTAATAAGATCTTGTGGGATTTTCGCATACAAACAGACAAAATACTGGCGCATAATACACCAGACATCACACTGGTTGAGAAAAATAAGGTCACAATCATAGACATCGCAATACCAGGTGATAGCAGGGTCGCCGAGAAGGAACATGAAAAAATCGCAAAATACCAGGACTTAAAAATCAAAATTCAACGACTATGGCACAAACCAGCAGTGGTAATTCCAGTGGTAATTGGCACACTGGGTGTTATTCCAAAAGCACTGGAATTACATTTAAAACAGTTAAAAATTGACAAAATCACCATCAGTCAAATGCAAAAAGCCGCACTGCTTGGATCTGCACGCATATTATGAAAATATGTTACGACGTCCTAGGCCCCTGGGTGGGGCCCGACTAGTAACCAATGCCAAATCCGGCGAAACAACTGGCCGCTGTGATACAATTGTGTAATAATAATAACAATAATAATAATAATGTTTACTTATCCATTTTAACATACCTCCCATATATCATTGATCCTTTCCTTATATTTCCCTGCTTTTAACTCCTGTTTTTATCAGCTAACCATTGATAAAATAAATCCCAGGTAAAAAAGTATTCAGTTTCTTTCTTTTCCTTAATTGTAAGTGTTAGCCTGTCCATTTCTGAATATTCTGATCTTTTTTAATCATATTTTATATCTGTAGGGATCTCTTTACTTTTCCTTTGTTGTGCAAATGCAATTCTAGCTGCAGTCAATTCATTCTTAAGGACTCAACAGATGCTCCCTCAGAAAGAGCCACGACTTCCTTTTTAGGAATACCGTAAGGCGGTGGCACTTCTGATCACCAAATCTGACAGCTTGGCTCCCTACTTCATATGCTTCATTGTAGAACCGATAGTAACAGGACTGCTCCATCTCTCTGAGCATTCTTTACCAGAAAAGTTTATGTTGACAGAGGGGGCACTGAAGCACAGGAAATGCTGTTGTGTTCTGCAGAAATGATTACAAGACAACCAAATGTTCTTTATCTGAAAAATAAGTCACATTAAATGAAATTGATAAAACAAGTCAACCAATGTTGTTGATTTCTTGAGGCAGTTGGGAGCTCATGAAAGTTTAAAAAAAACAACCTATGACCTTTGGCTTAAAATAATCATACATTCCAGCCATAAAAACTGATGCTGCAGCTCTTAGCCCTGTTTCAAATTATGGGGCTAGGAAAAAGGGGGATAAAACCAATCACACTGTATTTGCCATGTTTATATGAATGAGATTTCCTCCATTTAGCAGCTGATTAAAAATGCATTTTTACAGGGTGAAGATTTTGCAAAGTGGAAGGCACAATTTGAGGAAGTCCCCAGTTTGCTTACTGAAGGAGAGAAAAAAGCCTGGATTGGAAAATTAAATGGTGTCTCACTAAGCTCTGATGCATTTTTCCCTTTTAGGGATAATGTAGACAGAGCAAATCAGGTAAGATCTTTTGATAAAATCACATAATAAAAGATATTCTTGTTTAATCAGCTACCCAGACTCTAAAGGAAATGTTTGGCTCTTTGAAACCTACTTAAAACAGCAAGAAAGATAGATTACCACACTGGGGTGATTGTGGACTAGTGTTAATTAGAGAATGATCAGTAACATGTGTCTCCAGCTGATATCTACATCACTTTCTGCAATTCCAAACCAGGCTCCCTTAGTAGTCTCTCTTTTGACAATTTAGCACAAATAGCATAATACAAAATGCAAGTTTCATTTCATCTTCTGAATTTCCAAATTCACAGTTCCTTAGTTAACTAACTTAAGACATCCGTGAATTTAAAAAAAAAAAAAACATGTTACCAACTTGGACTACACCTTTCAAAGGAGAGGAAAGAAAAGTCTTGTTAGTCATTGCCAGTTCAATAAATCAGTTCTCCCTCCAAAAGAAGTTTCTTCTCCTACCACGAATTATAAAAGAAGAACTTGAGAGTCCTCTGACCTTTTAATCATATGCTGAGTCTGCTCTAGAAAGCCAGAAGTTATTCCCATCTTCTCCAGAGGCCTCCTGAGAAGAATAAAGGTGATGAAGGCGGGAATGGCGTGCAACTTTCCATTACAAATACATCCTATGCTTACTTCCCCTTTATTTATTCATTGACTGCTGAGTTTTTCTAATTAGTCTGAGCTCAGCCATCTGTAGCCACTTTTGACACTTGGTTCTTATTCTTGGCAAGACAGCCCACAGAAGCAAAACACACCGTTCCTTCCGCATACCTCTCTACTAACCTCCTGACTCCAGATTATAATCAAGGCCAGTGGGAGTTACCTTTAAAGTAAAACTAATAGAAGCGTATCACAGATACACCCTTAATTTAGATTTTGCCTGAGGTGTTGGGATAGGCAGTCTGGATGTAATTAGGATTGAAATCACTCATTTATAATGTTCCTACCATTTTGGGGTGAAATATGCAGGACTAGGAAACACATTAAAATAGTCTTTCCTCTGAAATTATGGAATGTAGTGGTAAGAGCCGAGGTGGCGCAGTGGTTAGAGTGCAGTACTACAGGCCACTTCAGCTGACTGCTATCTGCAGTTCAGCGGTTGAAATCTCACCGGCTCAAGGTTGACTCAGCCTTCCATCCTTCCGAGGTGGGTGAAATGAGGACCCAGATTGTTGTTTGGGGCAATATGCTGACTCTGTAAACCGCTTAGAGGGGGCAGAAAGCAGTATATAAGTCTAACTGCTATTGCTAACTGCTATATGATGGGCAATTGACATGACAATGCTGAGATTTTTGCTAATACTGCAATCAGGAAAGCAAACAGGTTAATGTCCAGAATGCGATTGAGATTGAATGAAGCATCTGGGCACCTGCTCTCTTACAATAAGGGTGGTGGAAAGGACTTTCTTGAGGCTTCACTGCATTCTCAAGTAACAAGTCTACAGAGCTTTTAAAAATTATATGCAGATTAGTATTATGCCCATCAAAGGCCCGCTGTGTTATGTGATAGGCAGAGATTTGCAAGACATTTCAAAGTCAAAAAATCCATAATTAGTTAAGTGCTGCCATTGTTTCAGATCCATCTGGAGTCTTTGCGTAGTCTGCAGGAACAGTCTAAATTTTGTAAGCTGTGGATCCAGGCTGCCATGATGCCCAATAATACAGTTATCTTGGCCAATTAAGCTCTCTAGAAGAGGGGGTTGAATGCTTCATTGCACTAGCCATAGCAATCCCCACACAGGGATATAAGATGTACCATGATTTTGAAGAGGTAATTAAAAAAAGGTTTTGCACTCTGCAGACGTCCCAAACTCTCTGCAACCACAACAACAACAAAAAGATTGTGCACGGGTGGGGTTTCGGTTGGCCAAAAATGCTGTATTCAGTCTGTAAGACACACCCAGATTTTCACCCTCTTTTGGGGGGGGGGGGAAGGTGTGTCTTATATTTTGAAAAATACGGTATATACCGCTTCACAGTGTTTTACAGCCCCCTCTGACTGGTTTTACAGAATCAGCATATTGTCCCCAACAATCTAGGTCCTCATTTTACCCACCTGGAAAGGGTAGAAGGCTGAGTCAACTTTGAGCCTGGTGAGATTTGAACTGCCAAATTGGCAGCCGATAGCAGAAGTAGCCAGTACTGTATTCTAACCACTATGCCACCACAGCTCTTAAGAGCTGGTTTTCCTTCCCAAAAAGAGGCCGTGTTTTGACTGCTCTTCTCAGGAGGCTCCTTGTCCTGGGCCAAAAGGCAAAAATATCTTTTTCTGGGTAAGGGGGAATCCAGAGGAGGGTGGTGATCCAACTGAGAGCATTCTTAGAGACAAGCAATCCTGTAAGGCCAAGACTTGTGCTTCATCTGGGTTATGTGAAAAAATTGGCCTTGATTTGGTTGACTTTTACAGGAGAGAAACAATTTGTGTCTTTCTCACTTGATTTTCCTCTGGCTTTTGGGTCAATTTGCAGAAGTATCCCCCTTGATCAGCTCTATGAATTGGGTGGGACTTTTATGTAATACTTACGCTTTTAATAGTATGTTCCCGAGTTTTGTACTAGGAGACTGTGGGTTGAAGCCTGGAGTCTTACAACGTCCTGCCCCAAGATGCTGTCTTTGATAGTGTTCCATGTTTATAAGAAACTACTGGGTGAAGTCATTGGGGAATATTGGTTGAAATGTAATTGGTATGCTGTTGTTACGTGCCTGTTTCTTTGTATTGTCTGAACAGGGAGAGAAGTGTATCCCCTAACTGGGCCCTTGAGTTGAGTACAGGTAGTCCTTGACTTATAACAGTTTGGTTAGTGACTGTTTGAAGTTATAATGGCACTGAGAAAAATGACTTACGACCCTTTTTTACACTTCCAACTGTTCTATCATCCCCATGGTCACTTGATCAAAATCCAGACACTTGGCAACTGATTCATTTAGGTTGGTTGCAGTGACTCAGTGTTATGTGATCCCCTTTTGAGATCTTCTGACAAGCAAAGTCATTGGGAAAGCCAGATTCACTTAATAACCATGTTACTAACGTAGCAATTGAAGTGATTCATTTAATAAATGTGTTTTCCTTTCTCAGAGTGGAGTCCAGTTCATTGTTTCCCCGTCCGGTTCTGCTGCTGACCAAGTGGTGATTGAAGCCTGTGATGAATTGGGAATAACACTTATTCATACCAACCTTCGCCTATTTCACCACTGATATTATAAAATCAGTATTTTTGAAGCATATTCTTTACACAGTCTGCTAAAAGCTACATATGTTGAGAGTTAAAAGAGATAAAAATTATGAAAATTTCTTGAAAAATAAAAGCGCAAAAACTATCAATAGTGAAATAAAATAGTGACATAAAATCAGTCATTTACTGTTTTTTATCATTCTCAGCTAAGGATTGTACATATTGGAAATTTGTTTTTAAATTAGTGAACCTGAGATGTTCATTAACAGGAGAATGGAAGTTTCTCCTGAAATTGATTCCATGTGGATAGAAATAGGATTATTTCTGGAAGGAACATCTGTCATTTGAAAGCAGCGTAAGAAATGGGGAAGGAGAATATTGGAATCACTTTGGTAATATTTGTAGATGTTTCCATCTCATCTGAAATTGGTGCCCGAAAACTACCGGTCAACCCTGACCCGAAGGCTCACACAAACACAACAAACCCCTATCATTAAACCGAATTGTATGATGGGAGCCTTATGTAATAATTGTTCTTTTGCCATTTTGACAGTGGGATACATAGTGATAGTATTTGGAAAAAGGATTGTATGTTGTATTGATTTTTTTGTCTTGCTTTTCAAATCTTCATTGTGCATTCTTGTCCTTTGACTAATTAAAACAATGTTTTAATAAATGTTTTAACGAATAGGTAATACTTTGGAAGATGGACTCAAGATCCGGAAGCACCTTGACAGAGTTGAATACTGAGCCTTAAGTCATAAGATGCAGTTCAGTGATAAGGGGAGTTCCTGTACTTACCTGAAAACAAAGGCATAAGTACGGAATAGGTGGTACCTGGCTGAACAGTAGTCACTGTGACAGGGATTTACCGTATTTTTTGGAGTATACAATGCTCCAAAGTATAAGATGCACCTCCCTTTTGGAGAGAAAAANAGTGCCAGCTAAATTTTGCAACCTTCAGCCTGGTTTTCAAAGCTTTTTTTTCAAGAAAAGCTTTTCACGCATTAAACCACCCGGAACCCTAAACCTTGAATCGTAGCTTATGAAATAAATCACGGCTTAAACGCCGCCCTGCTAACCCTCTCATCTTTAAAAAGAAAAAAAAATCCTATTAAGAAAACGCCGAACGAAGAGAAACCGGACTCGCTGCCTTGAAAGGAAGATCTCCAGCGTGACTGGGAAGCGAAATAATCTGCGATATGGCCGACGCCCGGGCCCGGCAACCATTTTGTGAGTGCGCCCACCAACTGCCAGCAAAACTCCCCTGGGTCTCCGAGGCTGATAAAAGCACTTAGGTGCCCCCCCGCCCCCCACGGAAACAAAAGGCAGACGGAAAAAGAATGGTGGGTTAAACGCTTCTGCGATTCGTAGGGACTCATTTTTATTAAGCTTCGGTATACACAACTTATAACACAAACAGAGACATTTTATCTGGCATCCTCCCCGCAACAATCTTTTGTGCGCTGTGAGCAGCGACAACGCCGAGTGACAAAAAGAGGTATCGAGAGGACCAGGGTATATATGGGGGCAGCAGAAATTCAGTTCTGGATAAGTTTTTTAAGGCAGTGTTTCTCCGCTGGGCGACTTTTAAGACGCCTGGACTTCAACTCCCAGGATTCCTCAGTCAGCCATGTTGGCTAGGGAATGCCGGGAGTTGAAGTCCAGTCGTCTTTTAAAAAGCGTCCCCTCGTTTAAGGAATGCGGAAATTAAAACTGGAAAACACCGAAAAACGAAATTCCATGCTTCTAAAAAAAAAAGATTGTTTCCCCCGTGTGGCAGTAGAACATTTTCCTCCGATATCTCTTTTCCGAAGACTTTTTTGGATATATAATTTCAATTTTCACCCTTTTCAGAGTTTCCAACCTCTGGAACGTTCCACCCACGTTAAGCACCGGGCGGATTCGAACCGGTGCGAGAAAACTGCACCGTTCGAACTAAAACTACGCATTCTTGCTTCGATACCCATTGCTTTGGTAGATTTTTTTTTTTTTAGTACCCTGGCTTTGGACTGGCAGCTGATTGAAAATTCCCTTTCCCCCCCTTTCTCGATAGGAAAAACGTGATTCTGCACGGCGGGAAATTCCCACGAAACCAGCGCCGTTGTGGTGTAGAATTTCGCTGCGCGGGGAAGAAATTGTTCTTTGCGCGACTTTCCTTTTGACTGCGGGGGAAGTTCTCTGGACACGACACACCGCAGAAGCGGCCGCAACAACTCGTCAGGTGTGCTTGCTCGCTAGAATATAGGAGAAGATTCCGTTGCAACGCAAACGAGACGTACAAGCTGCGCGAGACTATTCAAGCGATCCCTTTTAAATCACGGGGAGGGGGGGGGAGGAATTTAGCCACCGCATGAGAAGGATTTAACCCAGGTTAAATTGTTTACACAGGGAGGGGAAAACTCCACAGCATGCGTGAAAAACGTAACGATTATCTTATCCGAGACAACACGGAAGGAATGGAGAAAGATTGTGGCTCCGGTGGGATGGTTAACGGCACTCTATGGCCACCTCTCGTCTCAATCCGTCGGGAGGGATCGGCGCAATTTCCGACGAGATGAGGGAAAAAATAAAACAAAAAACTGATGGACGTGGTTTTCTCTCCCCTATACTCTTGCGGAGGGGCGACGGTGACCTCAGCGGGCTTTTCAGAATCCGATTTTCCCTCTGGTCATGGAATAACCCAGCTTGGCTTCGTTGTTGATGAAGGACATCAGCCCCACGTAGGTCTCAATCAGGAGCGGTCGATCGAGGAGAAGGACGCCGTTGGCCCGGCCCGGGAGGGGACACTCCCTGTGCGCCTTCTTGACGGCCTGGACTAGCTGGATTTGGAAGTTCTCCAACTGCAGAAGGAAAGAAAAAAGGAGGGAGGAGACGCTGAAGGGTTGTTGTGTCATCCCGGCGGGACCTCGGACATCGGTGAAGTGACAGACTTCCCGCCGCAGATGTACAACTGGCACCGTTAGTGGATTTAATCCTGGTGTGCCAGCAGTGGGACAATAGAGCGGGGAACTGGTTTTTCACAATCAGGAGGGTCCCTGCCAATTTTGGAGAAACCACCCCATTGTATTTTGACCCCCTAAGACAGGGGTGTCAAACTCAATTTCACTGCGGGCCACATCCAAGCTGTGGTTGACCTCAGGGGGGCTGGGCGGGCATGGCTTAACGTCACTCCCCAAACCACTGGCATGTTTCCTCTCTGCACTGGGTGGACCAGGACGGCCCGCGGGCCAGATCCGACCACACCGTGGGCCAGATCCGGCCCACGGGCCTTGAGTTTGATCCCCCCCCTTAAGAAAATTGACTTCGGGACCTCCCAACTGTCGTGCCGCTCAAACCGCTGGAGGGTTAGTTGGTCGAATGAATGGATTACAGGTAGTTCTCAACTTACAACTGGTCACTTACTGACCGTTGAAGTTACGGCCTACCTGAAAACGGAAAGTTAGGAGCCGGGTCCAAAAATTCAGCGGTTGCCTCTCGGTGGCCATACAAGCGAACTTCACACGCGGCTGCTGCCTTTAGCAAGCCACTGCTTTGCTTAACCGCCGTGGCATTTGTTTTACGACAGCTGCGTTAGCTTAACGAACGTTAATGACCAACGGCGGCCGGGCTCCATCACCGTCTTAACTCGAGAGATACCCGCACCTCGTCCAGAGAGGCTGCCCTAGCGTGCAAGACCTCTGAAAAAGTTTTAGGAGTGGTTCTTATGTACCGCGACCCCAGTGGTGGGTTCTGGGAGGTACGGCCCGGTTTAGCCGTACCGGTAGTAGCCGGGAGCAGCGGCTCCTTTGGCCGATAGCTGTTTGTAATGCGACGTGCACACAGCCGATGAGCAGCTCTGTGTTGGAGGGCGGTGCCCGACTAGGACAACCGGCCCCGTGCGCAGCATACCGATTCGGAACCCACCACTGCGCAAGCCCCAACCGGGGTGGGGGGGTGGGGGGGTGTTAAAATAAAGCAAATAAGGGAATATTTTTCACTCCCTTAAGATTCCAAATCCTGCCTCATCCTAAATCCCTTCAAACAAACCAAGATGGTAGAATATCTGAACCTGACACAGAGACGCGATCTTCTCGTCGGCATCCGCCATGGGGTGTTGGGTAAACGTGGCGTAGGGCACGTTGCTAGACCAAGGGTTCCAGCGGTTGATGAACGAAGCCCGGCTCTGCTTGTCCCACTGGATACGAATCCCGACGCCTTCCCGCCTGGAGAACAGAGAAAAGCGAAACCTTTGCTCGCGCTGACCGTTTCAGGATGATCACGATCAATAATTTTTTGGGGGGTAGGGGTGGGGGGAATGGTTTAATTCAGGCACCGCCAACCTTTCGGACCCCAGGGACTACTAAATTCATAAATTTAAATCCCGTGGAACAGTAATATGAATTTTTTTAAAAAAAGAAGATAAATAGTATTTAGCGCAATCTAAAAAAAATGCAAATAATTTTTCTGCGGACCATCACTTGGTGACAACCGGTTTGATTTCTAATCACTTTGCATTAATTGCTAAGAACCTTCATAGCAAGCCGTTTAAAGTCTTTTGTATTATTTTGTTAAAATAAAAATATTAGGTGGGAGGGGGGATCGTGGTCAGAATCGGAGGAATTTGGCCAAACGATCCGTGGGGAGCTGTGAGTTCTCTCAACGCTGGAGGTTTTGAAGAATGTATTGGAAAGCTATTGGTCAGAAATGGCATAAGGTCTCCTGCTCAAGCAGAGGGGTTGGACTAGAAGACCTCCAAGGTCCCTTCCAGCTCCACTCTTTTTGCGATGGCCTAGAGTGTCCTGCTTAATCATGGGGCTGGACTAGAAGACCTCCAAGGCCCCTTCCAGCTCTATTCCAATTGATTGGTTGGTTGAAATGGCCTAGGGTTTCCTGCTCGAGCAGGGGGTTGGACTAGAAGACCTCCCGGGTCCCTTATATCCCTGTTAGAACGTACTTGTTGAGCGACTTGGGGGGAAATTCGAACTGGCCCGTGGAAATGGTATCGACAGCGTTAAGCGAGATTCTGGTCACTTGCAGGCACTGAAGGCTGATAAAGTCGTATTTACAGATCAGAAGGGAGCGGTCGGTAATCAGAACGAGGCGTTCCTTTTCGTTGTTCCAGTGGTCGATCCTGCCAAGGAGAGCAAAGACACCAGCGTGGCTAAACATTTCAGAAAATAACGGTGATTTGTTTCATGCTCATCTGTTTTGGCGTCCAGGCAAAGGAGGCTTCCGGGCTTCCTGGGACTTACTCAGTCAGTAGCCAGACGCTTTGGACTTCCCCGTCCTCCACGGGCATCACAACCACCCGGATCTCATTGACCGCCTGCTCAATGGTGCCCGGCTGGATGGGGAGAGAAGAGCATTAGCCATTGTTAACCACTCGCTTCACAAACGTTACACCTGAGGCTGACTTTTCAGACAGGTGGACTTCAACTCCCAGAATTCCCCAGCCAGGGAGCGAGTTACTTTCTTTCTTTCTTTCTTTCTTTTCTTTCTTTCTTTCTTTCTTTCTTTCTTTTCTTTCTCTCTCTCTCTCCTATCTCTCTCTTTCTCTCTCTGATCTTCATATAGTTGTAGACAGACATTCAGTAGGTACATTTGTTTTACTATTCAGATGGCACTGTACAGCACTATGGAGCAGTATATAAATGATATTAGACCCTATTATGCTGTTTATATATATATACATACATATACATATGCACATATACATACGTACATACATATATACACAAACATAACCACATGCACAAATGTACGTGTGGTTTACATCTCCAGGAGTCCTGTTTTTTGAGATAGGTGCCTATATAAATACAATTATACACACACAGTGAGTATATATATTATATATCTATATCTAGTCTATTAGGTATAGTTTTACATTAATATGAAGGATGCAATTAATATTAAAACACACAATATAGATTTAATTACATAGACTGAGATAGGTGCCTATATAAATGATACACACAGACATATAATATCTATGTTCTCTCTATATGTGTGTCTGTTTGTGTGTATCGTTATATAGGCAACTATCTATGTAATTAAATCTATTGTGTTTATGTGTGTTGCTTTTAAGCTGATAAATAAAGGGAGACTAGTATAGATCTATTTCAAGCTATTTAGCTCTCATCAGCTAGCCATGCCCTTACTGGGATTTGAACACCGTCTGTTTTTACATGTTAGGCAGTTGTATTAGCCTCTAAGCCACAAGCTCTCCCGCCTTATCAGCTGAGCCAAGGAAATGATTAAGTGTTATGTCAAAGCACCTGGCATGCCCAAATATGGGAGGGAGCTGAAAGGCAAAAGGGAAGCATTTTATTTATATGTTTTAATATATGTATTTATATATGTATATATATGTATATATATAGATGTATATATGTATATGTATATATATGTAT